GAAGATGAGGGCATCGCAACTTCCATGGAAGCCGCCTTCCACCCTTTGTGCTGGCATCCTCCGTGTCTGTCAAAAACATCCCCCCCCGGGATAATAAATTTTGGGGTGGGGGAAGTGGTTTTAATTTAGATTATTTTTCTTTCTGATCTAAAGCCAGGTCTACACTAGACCCAGCAGCTCGGCTCGAGGTACGCGCTCCCAGCTATGTAGAATATGTAGCTGGAGCTGGTTTACCTTAAGCCGAGCTTGGAGGCTTCTCCCACAGTGGCTGTGTCTAGACTGCACCTCTCTGTCGAACGAGAGATGTAGATTAGGCATGTCAAAATTGCTAATTAAGTGGGGATTTAAATATCTCATACTTCATTAGCATAAACATGGCAGCTGTTTTTTTTTTTCAACACATGAGCTTTTTTGAAAAAAACCCCGGCAGTCTAGCTGAGATGGGGATCTGTCGAAAAATAAACCCTTTTTCAACAGATCCTGTAAACCTCATTTTTTGAGGAATACAGGATCTGTCGAAAAAGGGTTTATTTTCCGACAGTTCCCTGTCTAGAATGCCATTTTTTTAAAAAAAAAAAAGCTCCATGTTGAAAATAAGCGACGGCCATGTTTATGCTAATGAAGCGCAGGATATTTAAATCCCTGCTTCATTAGCAGTTTCGATGTGCTTGATTTGCATCTCTCTGTCGACAGAGGGATGCAGTCTAGACGTAGCCAGTGGGAGGCCGACAGGAGCCAATGATCCCATCAGCTTCCCATACGCCTGGCAAGAGCAGGAGTACCAGCGGGGGCCTTAACTAGACATGCTAAATCAAACTCCGATAGATCACTCACAGCAGTGGCGCTCTTCTGCGGCATGAAGCGTTGGCCTTAAATCAGCCGCCTCAACCATCCTCATACCTCTACAAATGGCATAGTTGAACCAGCACTTGTTACCTCTGAAGGGTTTACTTCTGATTATGTCTCAGGGTTCCTCAGGAAGCTCAAAAGTTCCCATGATACATGAACTAGCTTGGTTGGAATAGAGCGGTAGTTTGCCGAAGAAGATACTTTCTAAGGTAGTAGAAGTGCTGTGGTTTTCAGTCGGTCCTATGGGAATGAGTCGTAGCGGATGATTTTTCTGCCCTGCATGGTTTGGATCTGCAAGAAAGACAACACGTAGAAATGTGAGGAATCTCTCTGTGTCTTCAGTGGTGCTAGTTAGCTGGCAGCACCAAGTCAGAACAGGAAATGTGTATAAACACAGGTGAATGTTAGCCCCCATATGTAGTATGCCATTAGATCTCACCTGACGTGGCATTGAAAGACGCAGGCGTTTTCCCATTGACTCCCCTGGGCCCAGAATCAGGCCAAGTGTCACAGACACAGGATTGCAGATCTTAACTAACTATTTAATTTTGAGCAGAATAACACGCCCTTTGATAATGAGTCTGCAGCCCAGACTCAAGCAGAGCTCCCATTGTCTTCAAGTTTTCCAGTACTAATCAGTTGGTATCATGGGAGCTTTAAACTCCAAGCCTTGAATGCTGTGGACACCCACTGATTTCCATTGGAAATGGAAGGCTATTGGATCCCACACGAGTAAAAATCATATTGCACTCTTGAGTGGCTGCGTTTCCCCCTTGTGTTAGCCTCACTCTCATTCACATCAGGTCTTACATGTACCTCGTAGGGAATTGTTCCCATTGGTGCAGAAATTGTTTTTGCTTTTCCTATTAGCCTGTTTGTTTCAGCTGAGGTTGCGTTCACTGCAGCAGGTCAGAGCTCTTCATATGTCCAATGGATGTCTCTGAAAAAGACCTCCTGCTGCTTAGCATGTCATGCTGGTTAGCTCTATTAGTTTGCATTAGCATCATGCTGCTCGCATTTGTGTTAACGACTTAACATGGTGGCTATGGGTTGCTCTGTTGCATATTCCATAGTCACTAAGGTGGTGAGTTTTATCTCATCAGGAAACAGCTGGGCTGTGTCTACACTGGGCCACTTATTCCGGAAAATCAGCCGCTTTTCCGGAATAAGCTGCGAGCTGTCTACATTGGCCCTTGAATTTCCAGAAAAGCAACGATGCTCTACTGTACAAAATCAGCCGCTATTCCGGAAAAACTATTCTGCTCCCGCTCAGGCATAAGTCCTTATTCCGGAACACTGTTCCGGAAAAGGGCCAGTGTAGACAGCCCAGTAATCTTTTCCGCAAAAAAGCCCCGATTGCGAAAATGGCGATCGGGGCTCTTTTCCGGAAAAGCACGTCTACATTGGCCACAGACGCTTTTCCAGAAAAAGGGCTTTTCTGGAAAAGCAGCCTGCCAATGTAGACGCTCCTTTTCCGGAAAAACTGAAAACGGAATAGTATTCCGTTTTAAGCAGTTCCGGAAATTCATGCCAGTGTAGACACAACCCTGGGGTTTAGCTAAGTGCACATTGTCTCCCTCTGTAGATGTAAAAAGGTGCTGTGTGCAGCTGTAGCTCTCTGATCGGAGCAAGCAAGCGTGGTGTTGGTGGTCTGAGGGGAGTACGCAGAAGTCAGGAGAAAGCAGAAGGAATGAATTCTTTGTGGGGGGTGGGCCAGAGGGGGTCTGGCCCCTGGACTGGATTTGTTGTGGAGGGCATATGTATATGACTCACATGGCATGGACAAATTCTGAATAATGGATGGTTTCATTTAAAAGAGAAGCATCAAACTGCATGTTTGCAAATGTAACCTTCAAATGGTATTACTCCAGGGCAGCAATATTGATGCCAAGCCTAAATGAAGGGCTCACTCCTTCATCCCCTTTGCAGTCAAAAGTCCCATGAATGGCTCTAGGCGTGTTGCCTGTGGAAGGCAGGCAGGAACTAGCGGAAGGCAATCCCTTTGCTCCTGCAATTAATCTTCAGTAAGACCATGGCACTAGACTTTGAATCAAGTTTGCAAACATTGGGGTAGCAAAGAAATGTCCTGGGATTGCTGCCTCAGATTTGAGGCATAGATCTGAATTTGTAAGTCCTTCCTTGGCCTATGAGCACTAGATGGGAGAGATTGCGTGTGACCATCTGTATGAAGAACCATTCCGGCTACAAGGCGGTGAAGCCATTCAGACCTTTTCTAAGAGTATAGGTTTATTGTAATGTCTCTCCTTGTCTCTTGAAGGATTACTAGAGACCCCTCTTTGTTCTTTACAAGCTATAGCCTATGTTAGCAGACTCTGGCTTTGTATATCACGGAGCAGGGCATGACAAAATGCAGTCTGGGTCTTACTCAAAGGAAGGTCCACGTTAAGGTACGCTTTCCAGAAAGAAATGTGGTGGAAAATGGTTCAACATATTTGATTTTGATGATCTGCGAGGAGGCCTCTTTGAACTGGGTTTGGTGCTGTGTTTGGTAGCCTCAGACAGTTTTCCAGTGTTCTCAATTAGGAGGTTCTAATATCATGCAAACGGAACTGCTGTGAACAGCTAGGTGTGAAAAAGCCAGCAGCCGATCTGCATTGGGGCCTTCCCGGCTGAGCGGCACAGGGACTAGAACAAGGTGGGAGAATTCCCGTCTGTCCTCAGTACAGATGCAGCTGCCAAGCTCAAGGCTGAGGTTCTCTGGCAGGGATTTCCCTATACCCCCCCATGAGGGTGTATACCCCCTGTGAATTTCCCCAACACCCCCCCCCCGTTTTGTGAACTATGGTGCCATACAGCCCACCTTCACCCTCATGGTGTCACCCCTCATCAGCCCTGACACCCTCCTTGTAAATTTGAACACCCCCCCCTAATTTCAGTTCCTAGGGAGGCTACTGTTCACTGGTGAGCCTTGTGGGAGGACACACACTAGCGCTGCTGGTCTTGTCAGTCCTGGACCAGCTCAGTGGACTTGGATCTGTAGGGTTGTCATGCCCGCATTTTTTGGCCAATGCTAGCCTCCCACAAAGCAGTCCATGTCACTGATTCTCCCACAGTGTTAATTAGATGGGATAAGTCTGAGCGGCAGCTCTGAAGATCACTGAGGACAGCTTAGCTGCATACTTGTAATGGGGAAGTCGGTGCTAAAAAGCAAGGTTTTAGATCGGGTTGAGGAACCTCAGACCCAGGGATATTTTGCAGCCGCTGACTTGCCTGGATCCGGCTCCCGAGGCTCATGGGGCGCCTCCCCCCAGCACTGGAGAGCCCAGTGTTGTCGAGGCTCATGGGGGCCTCCCCCCAGCACTGGAGAGCCCAGTGTTGGCACGCCAGCCTCCCTGCTGCCCGAGAGCATGAAAAATCTACTAGGCTAGGCCCACCTAGGCGCTGGTATATGAGGGAAAGGTGGGGAGTGTCTTTCTCCTCAGTTGGTGGCCACAACAATGAGGATTTGCGGGTTGTTGGTTTTTTTTGGCTTCTCACTTGTGTGCGGTTCCTGACCCAAAAAAGGTTCCCCACCCCTGTTTTAGAGGCTTGCCTGGAAGATCCCTGTCTTTACCTGCCTTTTCTTCTCTCTCCCCCAGTTTACTCAAGACAAGGTAACTGCGCTGCGCTTCAAAGGCAGCTGCCTGAATAAACACCCTGCAGTTAATTTCTTGCCTTCAATTGCTTGTTCATTGGTGGATGACATATAACACAGTTGGAGCGATTCAACTCACAGTTTAAGCACCTTTGCACGGCAGATATTGTTTATGCGGCTTTTTAATGGTGCTGTTTACATTTTGCAATGTATTCTTGTCTCCTTTCACTGATCTTGAATGATCTAATCTGTGTCTGCTAAATGTATCTACTTTAGCGCCATTAGAATAACCCTGTAACTGACTGCACATAGGCTGTGATGGAGTGGGCGGCTCTAGACAATATATACATCTAATGGAACCACATAGAGTGTATAGATGCACTTAGCATTGACGATACCCTGATTAGATGAGTTGCTTGCCTGTATTTGTTTTTAATTGTAATGAGGATTAAACATGAGAGAGGTGCCCAAGAGGGAATCCTGAAACTGCATTTTCTTCTTTTAAAGAGTACTTTTCAGCACCCACCCACCTTTAATATTTTTGCTTCTTTTACAGAAAAAAACCATTGATGTTTATAGAAGAGAGGTAATTTGACCGTCACTTCTTTGTCAATATGAGGTGTTTGTCTGTTGTTGGAATTTGTGCTGCATTAGTGCTTCTTATACACAGGTCATCATGGTTCCTGCCACCAATAGCTGTCAGCCTAATGCATTTTCAAGAAAACACTCTGCGTGCACTGCTATCAATGCTAGCAAGAGTGGGAAAACTCTGAGTGGGACTAGATAATGGGGTAAAAACACTCACACCATTGCTGAACATCGGTGGAACTTCACCAGTGGTACAGCCATGATGGGAAATACCCCCAGAGTTGCCAGCGTAGAAACAACTAAATAGCAATGATAATTGCGCACCTCCATCCGCCAAAACAGTAGTGCCATTGTAGCCATTATGTCGTTATTACAGAGCATGGGGAACTGCAGCTAATTACTTGCACGTGATAGAACATTTTCGTGACATTTGAAAAACCCCAATGAAAATAACTGTGGTGATAAAATAATTCAGTGACTCTGGGCCTTCATGGGCACCCACGTGTTAGGAGAGATGCTGGAATTCTTGTCACTGTTCTGCTACCTTGCAGAAGGGGGGAGCAGATGCCCAGCTTTGACCCAAATGACTGCAGTTCTGCTAACTACAAAACCTATCTATGCCTCTTAGATCATGTACTACCAGCAAGCCATCATGAAGTCCACAGTGAAATCTTCTGTCTCCCTCGGAGGGTAAGTTCTGATTCCCTTATGCTTCCTTATTCCCTAATTAGTCTTAAATTCTCTCCCGTTAATGAGCTGATTAACCTATTTACTCTGACAGCTGGTGCAATCGATAGCATGGCCGCACACAGTGCTCTCCGGGCGCAGTATCTCTAGGCAGTGTAATCACTGGATTGGAAACTGGGAAGAAAACCAAGGGCACCCATAAAGCAGAGAAGGCTCCAAGACCCCGTCCCAGCATGAAAAGCCAGTTCTCCAGTGGGAGCTTGGCCATAAACTTATATGGGACCAGGATCAGGTCGTTAGTTAATATTCCAGTGTCCCAGGGTGGACTCACCACCACGGCGCCTCCTGCCTGTAGCCCTGGGAATTAGTTTTTGTCTGCTCGCTGGATGCCTCCCTCTGGCTGGGGTCTCCCCGTTTCCCTCTGCAGTCCGGACCTGCTTCACTCTTGGGCCACTGTGTCCTCTTCAGGACACTGCCCTCCGTCAGGGCCCACTCCAGTCTGTTTTGGCTCCCTTCTGTGGGGATTGATCAGTCTCTGCACTCCAGGGCCAGGGAACACTCAGTTCCCCTCCCAGGGAACACTCACTTCCCCTGTACCCTCCTTGTTTCAGTGCCCCACTGTCAGTCTTCATCTAGCCCCTGCCTCTGGGGCAGACTGCAGTCTGTCATGGCCACTCACCATTGGCAAGGGGGTGCGGACCTGCTGCCTTGGCCTATCCTGGCTGGCTCTCTGCAGCCTTCCTGCACTCAGGTCTGGCCTCAGGCCCTGCAGCTGGGAAGTTTGCCTAGCCAGCGCTTCCCCAGCCCTGCCTGCCTCCCCCAATACTGCAATATTTCCAGGAAGCCTCCTGCTTCCCAAGTAGCCAGGTCCCTCCTGCTCTCCAACAAGAGTTCAGTCCTCCCCTTTCACTCCAAGAGCCCTTCTTTATATAGCCCCCAGCTGGGCCCTAATTAGCAATAACTGCCTCAGCTGGGGCTTCGCTCGCAGCCCTTTCTCAGGGCTGGGTTATGCCCTGAAAGGGCCAGTGCAGGGCAGATGCCCTGTCACATCCAGTTGCAACCCAGGGAAACATTGAGCAGGGACTAAGGGGTAGGTACCCTGTCATATTCATCACCACGCTCGGTGCTTCGACAGGGAGTCAGTATCATCGGCCAGCATCCACGACTAGCGAGGCTGAAGGACCATGAATGTAGTTCTGGGTTACGTTCAAGTTCTGGGTTAAGAGGAAAGAGTTAGTTGGGAAAACTGAGCGGAACAAAGCAGCATCACAAAAGAAAAATCTTTGCCCGCTCAGCCCTCCAGCGGAGTCGCACAGCCTGGTGTGAATCACTCACAACCCCTTCTGGGGCACACACTGAACAGGGGCCGAGGTCCCTCTGCATCTGTCTCCCCACTCTGCATGAGAGCGGTGCCTGCAGGGCTTCCTATCCCAGAGACAGCCTCCTTGCCCGTGCCTTAGGGAAGGGGTTGGCAACCTTTTCAAACCAAAGAGCCAAACTACATCACGATTCAGAACTAGTGGTCAACAAAGAGCCGTATAAAAACGACCATTTGCAGTCGTTTATCATTGCCATAATGATTACTCATAGCATAAATGGAACCTTGTACTCACAGACTTTATTTGGTGGGACTTCTGCTGCTGCATCTTCTTGCACATTTCTTTGAAATTGACATCATAACAGGTCAAATCCTGCTTCTTGCACATTCAGGCTGTCTTTTGTCAATCTTATGGCAGGGAGTCGGTGGTGCAGGAGTCTGGGTTGGGGTGTATGATGGACTCAGGGAACAAGATTGGGGTGTGTGGGAGTGTAGGAGTGTTATGGCAGAGGGCTGAGTATTTGGGGGTGGAGGAGTTTGGGGGTGTGGGGGTGCAGGAGTTTGGGGATGGGAGGGGCTCAGGACAGGGGGTTCCAGTTGTCACGTTACTGGATTTTAAGGGGAGCAGCCAGGATCACTGCTGCACCCATGGGGAGGCGTTTGCCCCAAAAGCGATTACAAAGGGGGCCATGTGAGGTGTCAAAGGAAAGCGTACGCTCTACCGATTCTGTATATGCTACTCGTGCACTTGTAGAATGGCTGGATGTGGAGTTTCAGTGATGTACTCTGTGGCTGCTGGAAGATGCTCTGTCTGAAGCAGAGCAATGGGTAAGGAATGCTGAGCCGATGGCTATACTAATTAGCAACGAGACAATGAATCTCCGGGTGCCGATCCACACCTCAGGAATGTGGCGTTGCATTTATTTATGCCAGAGGTGGGGAACCTTTTTTGGGTCAGGGGCCACACAAGCGAGAAGCAAAGAAACCAAACAAATACACAAAAAAGCCCTCCAAAAACCTCCAACCCTCACTCATGTGACCCCCAACTGAAACACCTCACTCTCCTGGTGCTCCAACCCCATGGTGCAGGAAGGGACAGGGAGGACTGAAGTTCAAGGCACCAGGCCAGATTTAGTTTTTTGGGGTTCCAGGGTTGGTGGGTTTTGTGCCCCTCCCCCCGCCTCTGGGGTGGAGCAGAAAATGAGGAGCAGCGGGACAGGGCTAACAGTGAATGGGATAGGGATGGGGGTGCAGGATCTGGGTAGGAGGTAGGGCGCTAGAGCAGGCTGGGAGTAGGGTGTCCGGCCAGGGGGCAGGAATGGGTTGGATACAGGGTGTCTGGGGGTGTGGAGAGTATTCAGGCTGTGGGGCTGCAGGAGGGAGAGAATTTAGGGGGCTATGGAGGAAGGGCAGGGAAAGACAGCAGAGAACCCAAGTCCTGTCCCATGATCCTTACACATGGAGGCCACCATTCCTATCACTGGGCGGATGCACTCCGGGGAGGATTCTTTCTGCCCCCTGCCCTGCAGCCCACCTGGTACAGAGCCATGACCTGGGAGAGGATTTCCCCACGCGTGTTTGAAATGGTCACCTGCTTGAGGAAGGCCTGGAAGGAAGGCACTGCAGTCTAGTGGCTACAGCAGGGGAAAGGCCCTTAGGAGTTCTTGTTCAGGGCCTGCCTCTGCTTCTGTCTCCCCTCTGTGGTGGCATCAGTCTCTCTGTGCCTCCGTCTGGGAATTGGAGCTGACGGCACTGGCATAGCTCCCAGGGGCGCTGTGCTGCTTAATCGGCCGACACGTCACAGAGTGACTAGCCCCGTCTCTATACTGGGCCAAACCCAGTTTCCTCAGCTGTGAGCCAAACTCAGAGATCAGGCCTGACTCTAATCCGTATTGGTTAGGGCAGAATCAGTCTCCAGACAACACAGAATCCTAGAACTGGAAGGGGCCTGGAGAGGTCATTAAGTCCAGTCCCCTGCCCTCACGGCAGGACCCAGTACCATCTAGATCAGGGTGGGGAACCTCTGACCCATGGGCTACATGCGCTTCATCAGCGTTAGCTGCTGGCGGGCTGCAAGGTGGTTTGTTTACGGAGTGTCCGCAGGCACAGAGCCTGGCCTGCAAGTTCCCCGCCGCGATCTAGACTCTCCCTGGCAGATGTTTCTCTAATTGGCTCTTAAAAATCTCCAGGGATGGAGAGTCCACAACCCCCCCTAGGCAATTGATTCCAGTGCTTCACCACCCTGACAGGCGGGAAGTTTTTCCTAATGTCCAACCTAAACCTCCCTTGCTGCAATTTACGCCCATTGCTCCTCATCCGAGCCTCCGAGATGGAGAATATGCCCACGTGAGAGTATTTTATTGATCCAGGAGGCGCTGGAAAGCCTGGATCGTTAACAGGACAGTGCAATGTAACCTGAGCAGATGAGTTTAGATTTGTAGCTCAATTAGAATATATGGATTAAACTGAATTATGTGAGTGCTGAATGCCAGGGCATTTCCACTGAGAAGATAGTATCAAGCATGCTGGTGTCAAACCGCAGTCTGCTTTGCGCAACAGCATCTTATCACTATAGGACCCATGCCAAGGAGTCTATTCGCATCACAGCTTTGGCCAGTGCACACCCAGCTTTGAACATACAAGAGCAGCTTAGCCTGGGATGAATTTAAACACAGAAACCTAGACAAATTTTTCAGAAGTGAGGGGGGAAAAAACCTGCCTTTCGCCGGGTGTCAATGAAATTGGTTGTAATGGTAAGTCCAGCTGGTCCCTGAACTCAAGGTGGGACATTAAGTGTTTTTCTACTTTGCTCCTGCAAGAGCAGAAGAGCTTTTGTCTTCACAGAGAAAACGGCTCAAAATGCTCTGCAGAGCAATGAGCTGGACAGTCGCCGTGGGCAGGAACATGGTAGCCAGCATGTGCATGCTCCACCATGACCCATCCCGTAGAAGGGAACCCCCTGGGGCAAAACAAAAATGTCACGTTTTTAGCAAGGAAGCTGCTCAGGGCCCTTTTTGAAGTCTCCCCATAGCCCCTCTGGATGCCAGTCCAGGTTCCTGCAACATCTGTTTTTCTTCCTGTCTGCTACCTTCTGCTCTCTAATGGGTGTCCTATCAAAGCAGCCAATGGTTGGACAGAGACTGAGCTCCAGGTTCTATTCCCTTGTCTGCTTCCGACGTCACTGCGGGACATCGGCTGTCTTAAATGCCGCTCCCAAACTCTGGGACCCTCCCACCCCAAATCAATGGCTGCTTTTGAAAGACAACATAGAGGGCCACCTTTGGTGGGTGATCTTGTTGGGAAAAGATTCATTGCTCTTTTGAATGGTCCTTCATGCCCGGAGATCCCATTCAGGATCCAGACCCCTGCATGCACTTAAGCCACATCTTCATTCCGCAATCGATCTTCTGGAGTTCGATTTAGCGATTCTAGTTAGGACTCGCTAAATCAAACTCAGAGGACGCCCCCACCAGCGTCCAGAACTCCTGCTCTTGTCAGGAGTAAGGGAAGCTGATGGAACCGTTTGTTCCCATCAGCCTACTGCTGAGGGGATGCTACCAAGTTTGGTTTAAATGAAGCCAAGCTGCTAGGTCTAGTGTGGACCTGGCTTTAGGAAGAGGCCCAAGTCCTTTGTAAATAGTTGTCTTAGGTTTACAAACATGCTGGTTGAAATGCTGCCTGCAGCTGATCACCTAGTTCATCTGAACTATTTTCAGGATCGTGAAGTACAGTGAACAGTTCCTCTCCAATGACCCCATCATGTCTGGATGCCTCCCCAGCAATCCCTGGATAACCGATGACGCGGAGTTCTGGGAGCTCAATGCAAAGCTGTATGTATTTACTCCCCCACCCGCTTGTGGCCGTTATGTTGCTGGAGATTGAAAATGAGGAAGCATTGCTGTAATCGTGCTATCCGTTCTCCTGTGAGAAGTGTGGCTTTCCTGTGCATGATGTAGCTTGACAGCGAAGTGGTCAGTGATCCTCTGTCAGGGTTGACATCTGAACTCGCTGCATCATCTGCTTTCTCTCGAGGTGTGGTCTTCCTGAACGGTGTGGGAGTTTTAAAAGTCATACCAGGCTTATTCTGTGGGCCTGATTCTGTTTTTGGATGAGTGTAAGAGGTTCCCCTTCACCCAAGAGCAAAATTTGGCCCATTACGATCAAGGTAAAGGTTGAACCTCTCTAGTCCAGCACTCTCTAGTCCAGCGCCATGTGTGGTCCAGCATGATTTTCGTTAGCCAGATGTCCACTTTTCATGGGTGTGGCCAAGTTTCCTGTGGTGCCATAAAGTTTGGTTACAGCCACTGTCCTGGGTCTCAGTGTTCTGTGCTGTTATTTAGCTCTAATGTACCCCTAAATGTCTTCTAATAGCCCAGGAAGCAGTGGAAGTGTTGGTAATGCTGATAGACAGTATTGACCTCCTGTGGTCTGGAAAACTCTCTGGTTCGGCACCGGTCAGGTCCTGAGGTGTGCCGGACTAGAGAGGTCCAATCTGTAGCATAGCTCAGCTAAATTATGGGCATGGACCCCAGTTCTCAGGTCTATAGGCAGGCAAAACTTCCCCAAGAGATTTCTTTGCCTAAGGGCCAAAGCACCCTGATTCAAACACTATGGCTATGTCTACACTGGCACCTTTTTCCAGAAATGCTTAAAACGGAACAGTTTTCCGTTATAAGTATTTCCGGAAAAAGAGTGTCTACATTGGCAGGATGCTTTTCTGGAAAAGCCCTTTTTCCGTAAAAGCGTTCGTGGCCAATGTAGATGTGCTTTTCCGGAAAAAAGCCCCGATCGTCATTTTCACGATCGGGGCTTTTTTGCGGAAAAGACTACTGTGCTGTCTACACTGGCCCTTTTCCGGAACAGTTTTCCGGAAAAAGGACTTTTGCCTGAGTGGGAGCAGCATAGTTTTTCTGGAAAAGCAGCTGATTTCTTACAGTAGATCGTCAGTGCTTTTCCGGAAATTCAAGGGGCTAATGTAGACAGCTCGCAGCTTATTCTGGAAAAGCGGCTGCTTTTCCGGAATAAGTGGCCCAGTGTAGACACAGCCTGTGTGTCCTAGGAATCTCTTCCCTTGCCAATGCTCACAGGAACTGGTCAGTTAAACTGGGTACACGCAAGGCTGGTGACAGACTTCATTGGGCCCCTGGGCAAAGTGGGAGGGGCTTGGCTCTGTGCCCCTTGGGAAGGGGCGGGGCTAGCTGTTAGCCTCCTACACCCAGGCCTCAGTGCTGCTCGAACCATGCTTCGTGGGATTTAAAGGGCCTGGGGTTTCAGCTGCTGCTGTTCCGGGCAATTGCCCCCTTTGACTGCCCCCACTGGCGGCTATGGGTACATGGCGGTACTGCGTTGCTGAAGGAGCACAGCAGCCGCAGCTCTGGCAGCCTCCTGTCCAGATGGGCATTTTGTGTTGGTTTTGAATCTCACACCAGTGTAAATCAGCAGCAGCATATTAATGATGCAGCACCAGTATAAAGCCGGTGTAAATCAGAGCAGAATCGGCCCCTCCGAGTCTCATTCCTGATCCCGCTGCGCCCAGGGCGATTTAATTGCCGCTTACCTAATGGGCTGACCTGGCAAGCTCGTTACGGCAGAGCGGGGAACTCTCCTGGCACGCCAGCCAAGGGCGCGCTGCTTTTAATGAAATGTGTGGCTCCAATCCGGCAGTGAGCTGACTCCAGCGGGAAACAGTGGTGTCTGTGTTGAAATCTTTGCAGAGTGGAAATCCCTACCAGGATGCGTGTGGAGCGATGGGCCTTTAATTTTAACGAGCTGATCAGGGACCCGAAAGGCCGGCAGAACTTCCAGCTCTTCCTGAAGAAAGAATTCAGTGGTGGGTCTGTGTCCCTGTGCCTCCCCGTTCAGCCCCTCTGCGTCACTACGGCACATTTCCAATCCAGTGGGGGCAGCTCAGGGGCTATTTTTAGAAATCTTATAACCGGGTCCTACGCAATAATGGGAAGGCCTAGAGGAGCTGGGCTGTGGAGTCAGTGCATGCAATACCATCTAGTGGCAGAGGACGGAAAACACAGCAGCAAAGAAACCACTCCGCAAAGAGAGTTTGTTGCTGGAGCCCCTGCAAATTGACTGGTGTTTAAAAACAAAAGAAGATTTGTGTCAATGTTACAGGCACTTAGGGTGAAATTCATCTTTGTGCAGAGAGCCCTCAAACGGATGTAACTGTCACAATCCGGGTTTCAGGAGCATGTCCAACAAATATCGAATCGTGTGAATTCAATGTCGAGTTTTTAATTTCGCTTCCCTGCTGTTTTCTTTGTCTCTCTCCTGCTCTTGTAACGGATCCCTCGTTGCTCAGGAGAGAATCTGGGATTCTGGGAAGCCTGTGAGGACCTGAAATATGGCGACCAATCCAAAGTCAAAGAAAAAGCAGAAGAAATTTACAAGTGAGTGTGAGGACTCCTGGGTTTGCAGCCAACCTTCCTGATGTGTGGCTATCCCCATCCTGGCCTTGTTCCGCTCTCCTGGGGGAATAGCGTAGTCCTGAGTATCGGCCAGGATTTCCTTTGTGAGCCGGCCAGAAGCACACGTGGGAGATCGTCCCTGTCAATGTGCCCATTCATCTTTTCCAACCCTGTGTGGATTTTTTCCACTCACGTGCAGCATAAATTTTGTGCGCACCGAGGAATGTGTGAAGGTGCACCACCAAAATAATCCGCTGGGTGCCATCTGAACCTTTCCTGAGCAGCTGCACAAGCGCATGACTCACAGGGGACACTGGTCCCAGTGTAAGGAGGATGCTCCTTTACATAAAAACTAACAAACATTATTTTGTTATAAAGCAACTTCCCCCCCTCACCCCATCTATCCAGGTGGCTCATACAAGGAAGCGGGCTAGTCTGATTGGAAGACAAAACCTCTCAGTTAAGTCTTATTCTGTGCCATTCAGCCTCCCCTTCCCGGTCGGGAGAACAGGAACAGTATTATGTCTGTACGTCTCCTTAGCCTTAGGAGGCCTCATTAATCAATATTTGTGAAAGTACTTAGAGCTTTCCAGAGGAGAGACCCTCTTTGAGGGCCTACCCCGAAGCCTGCTGGCGTCTGGGGGGAGACAGCCCCACAGCGGGTTTTGGAGCAGGTCCTGAGTGCAAAACATCGTTAATCCTCAGAGGTGATCCCGTGGCGTGGGGAGGCCCTGCCCCTTCCATGCCCACGAGAGCCCAGACCACCCCCCTCAGGGTGGCCACTGCTGGCCCCTGCCTACCTCCTGCCACATGTGGCCACTGACCCTTCCTCCCTCCCTGTCCTCAGGCTTCCCCGGCCCCAGAGAGCCAGCAGGCCGCAGCCCCAGCCTCTGCAGGGGGACTCTGGGGGAGCATGGGCGTGGCTAGGTGAGGCAGTGTGGGAAGGCAGTACCAAATTGCCCCCCTCCTGTTCAAAGCACGTGGTGTCTGGTTGCACCTGAGGCGCTCATTACTGCCCATGGGTGTGAGAGAGCCACGGCTCAGGTCTGGCTGGCAGTTGGAAGCACATTTTTCTTTCCCTCTATGGACGCTCAACAGCCTCCATGAGTGCTCCCCTCATGACCTCGCCCGTTTCTGGTTTCAGACTCTTCCTGGCTCCCGGGGCGAGGCGCTGGATTAACATTGACGGCACGACCATGGGCATCACCGTCCGGGGTCTCAAGCACCCTCATCGCTACGTTTTAGATGCGGCGCAGACTCATATTTACATGCTCATGAAAAAGGTTTGCAACTGGCTTACGCGCCCTGAGGGCGTCCCCGGCGTGTCTGTGCCTGTCCGGGTCCCGGCGTGCTAGCTACCGTGGCTCCCAAAGTCTCCTCTGTGTGAAAGGAGGCAACTTGCTGCCCTGCAGCGGGAAAGAAATGGCTGATCCCTTCGCCATCTGGTTAGCGGATAGACGTCAGGGCTCTGAGCTAGGACAGGGGTTTTCAAACTCGGGGCCACAGCTCGCGATGGCCGCGAGATGCTTTGTTTGGCTGAGCAGCAGCAGGCATGGCAGCTTGCAGCTCCCTGTGGCCACAGTACGCTGTTCCCGGCCAAGGGGGGGGGCCGCGGGAAGTAGTGTGGCCGCAGGAGGTAGTGTGGGTGAGGCCACCACTTCCTGCAGCTCCTGTGGGTCAGGAATGGTGAACCACACCAGGGGGAACTGCGAGCGGCCAGGCCTGCGGACGCTCAGGTAAACAACGCATCTCGCAGCCCGCAAGCAGCTTCCCCTCGCAAGCTATGGCCCAGAGTTTGAAAACCCCCGAGCTCGGAAGTTTCAGTCTGGAATCTAAACTCTGCCACTGACTCACACTGAGCCTTGGACAATTCATTTAGCTCCTGTGTCCCATATTTCCTGTGTGTAGTAGGGACGAGAATGTTGTCCTAGACTATAAGGGTATGTCTACACTATCCCGGTAGTTCGAATAGCGGGGGTAATGTAGTCATCCGCAGTTGCAAATGAACCCCGGGATTTGAATTTCCCGGGCTTCATTTGCATGAAGCCGGCCGGCGCCATTTTTAAATGCCGGCTAGTTCGAACCCCGTGCCGCATGGCTACATGCGGCATGGAGTAGCTAGTTCGGATTAGGCTTCGGATTAGGCCAGCGGTCTTCCCTGAATGAATGGGTGCTGGGAGGCCGTATTAGTCAGTGTTTGTCTAGTGCTTTGCAGTGTTCTGCGGGCGCCCGTCGTCGTGGCTGTTCTGTGGGAATTCTAGAGTCTCTAGTCAGTCATTTCGCACCCCCGGATCTAGTCCACCTGGGGCAGGATGCGCATTTTAGCACAGAGCGTTCCCACGCTAGTTGTATCCCGGGATGCCGAACCGCCCCGCAAACGGTGACTTTTGGGCCAAGAACGGAGGGTGCGGTGTTGCCCTTGAAACATGAGTTTTTTGCTCTGAGTTTTCATGCACTTCCCTGGGTCCTGTTGTAGATCTGGTGCTGGAAGCTGTGTTGACTCTCAGACGAGTCTGTGTAATCCATTAGACTATGGGGAGAAGAAATAACGCCCCTGCTCAGCCCTCCTCTCATTTGTGATCTGGGCAGTACACTGAGAAAAAAGGGGCATTGGGGGCCAGATTGTCATCCGGGAAAACTGGCTTTGAGGTCAGTGGAGCTGTGCTGTTTTGCACCAGCTGAGGGCAGAGCCCTGCCCTAGATCTTGAATCACACTGGCCCGACAGCGACGGTGCGTCTGCACTGCAGTGAAAGACCCCAGGCTGACATTTCACTCAGGCTGCAGTGTAGATATTTGGACTCGGAGTGGCGCATGGGCCCTGAAACCCCACGAGCCAGGTGGGACTTAGAGCTTAGGGCCGAATGTCTGCACTGCTATTGGGAACCCTGCATCCTGAGCTGTGTGAGCCTGTTTCAGCTGACCCCTGCTCTGAGACTCAGTGCAACGGGGGTTTTATTGCTGGGTCGATGTAGCCTAAGCCCTGGTCTGCACTAAGGCTTTATTTCGAAATAACCCCCTTCAGTCAAATGAATAAGCGGAGCAACCACGCTACCAAACCCGTTGTTTCAAAAAAACAGGCCGCTTATTTCAAAATCTGCTTTCCTCAGGGAATAACACTATTTCCGAAATAGTTATTTAGAGATAGTGCTAGAGTGGACGCTCCGGTGACACTATTTAGAAATAACTACCCCCCAGAGTCAGTCAAACTCATTTCTCCCCAGTGCTTCTGGGGACTCTAATTAGAGGTAGCGCGTCCACATTAAGGGAGCCGGCCTTGGATTAATTTTGAGGCTTCCCTGTAGCATGGACACGCGAGTTTGAATTTGTTATTTCAGGAGTTATTAAATTGATTTTAGTTCTTTCGAAATTGTCTGCTATTGTAGACATGCCCTAAGACGGTGCTTCTCAACCTTATTTTACAAAGTACCTCTTTAAAAAATGTGTAAGTACCCCAAGTACCTACAGATTTCAGACACACACACTTTTTTTCTACCCTTGCAACACATTTGTTTAAACAACTTAATTGTAGCTGGGCGGGCGATGTAATTTTTGGGTGTAAAAAGTACAAAAATGGTAAAGTGCTGTAAAACTTAAAACAAAAATTCAGTTTTCTCCAAATTTCAGTTGTGGTGATGTACCCCGCAAACTTCTCCCGAGTACCTCTAAGGATACTCGTACCAGTGGTTGAGAAACACTGCCCTAAGAGACCTTCATCTTAAGCTAGGCTTATCCATCCCTTTAGTTCTGAATTCGACCTTGGGGACTTCACTGCCACCCAGGAAGCAGTTGGTTTGAATGAACAAGTTCTCCTGGGTTGCTGGGCGAGATGACCAATGTCTCAGCCTCATTGGCTCCAGAGCAGCTGGTCTCAGATGATGTTAATTCGGCTGTTTGCTCTCCATAACTACCACTTTCTCTTTTCCCGCTAGTAGGACTCTTATGGTCGCTATTTAAAGTCTCCCATATACAAGGAGATGTTGGCCAAGGCCATCGTGCCCCAAGAGACAGTGAAGAAAAGGCAAGTAAATTGGAGTGTTTTTGTGGGTTTGGATTGCACTGGGGATACCAGAAGCCTGAGTTGTAGTGGAATTACGGCGATTGAGACATTTGCTTAATGAAAGCGGGTTTTTCACTACGATGAAGTTGGTGAGCCCCATGGAAAAGGCTCTGACTGTACATAAGCCGATCTGACAAGGGCTAAATCCCTTTTGAGGCTGCATGGGAAGGCTGTGCTTGGTGAACTCATAATATCCTGTCCCCAGGGGGTGCTTTACTTCAGATGTGAGAGAACCTACACTGGGTTAAGCGAGCCCATCCAAAGCCTGTGGGATTTAAGGCAGGATGGGGTAACTATGTTCTCCCCATGGCACTTGTGTGTTGTTAGCGCTCACAGCCCTGCACTCAGGCAGCTGTTTACACAAGCGCAAAGCGGAGTAGAGCAGTAGTGTCTTAACGCTGCTGGCACAAGAGGCAAGTGTCATGCCAACAGAGTCCGGTCGTCTGTGGGTGGAATTGAACCTGGGACCTCTGCAGCTTAGTGCATGAGCTGCTGCCACATGAGCTAAAAGCCAGCTGGCTTTCAGCTAAGGCAGTGGAGCGGACTCATTATTCTCTCGGCAAGCAGTCTCAGTGCCTCTTGATGGGGCGCTGTCCCACACCCAGAAGCTGTGTGGGTTGCACAAGGCACTGGAAAACTAGGCTCCACAAAGCAGTTTCCACATCCAAACGTTGGCGTCTCCGATCGGCTGCCTCAGCAGTCTCAGGGACATCAGGCAGCCTGGTTTAAGTACAGTTGTCTCATCAGGACAAACTTGCAGTGTCAGAGCCAAAAGAGATGGCTGCTGCCTCAGGACAGGGAACGCTTCTCTCTGTGCCCCGGACACAGCCCATAAACTGGCCTTGCAAGAGCCGTGATCGGAAGGGCTGATCCTAAGCCCATTGAAGTCAATGGAAAGACTCCTGCTAACTTCATGGGGCCAGAGCTGGCTTTAGGCCGATTCGCCTGATTCCCCCAAATCAGGCCCCAGGCCTAAAAGGGCCCCACGCCCTAAGCCGCTGTTTTGGCTGTATCAGAGGCAGCAGCACGGGGTACCAGACAGGAGCTAATCTGCAAGGGGAGCCAGTTTAAAAACCAGCTCCCCTCATGGACCAGCTGCCTGTCACTCCATGCTGCTGCCTCTGATACAGAGGCAGCAGCGTGGGGTGGCAGCAGCCCCTGTCTGGGGGGACAGTGTGTAAGGGGAAACTCCTCATGAAGGGAGGGGAGTAATTTGCAGCCAACAGGCAACACTTTTCACTAAAGAAAGCGGTCTGGGTGGGGTTTGAGCATTGATCTCATGGTGTTTCTCAACCTTTTTGATGCCAGGGACTGGCTTGCTGTCATGGTCACCTTACCCATATACAGCTGAGTAGAGCACCCAAAAATGTGGGGCACCGCTGGGTCTTTATGTCTATCCACCCCCCTCTTCCTATCCCTGGTCTGTGGCTCTGCTTCCTCTGGAGAGGATCTAGTAAACTTAAAAGTGAAAAAGCCGGCCAGCGCTATTAGCACATCGAACCAACCTGTGAGAGAGCCATTCAAGTGGTAATGAAGCCATTTAATAGGCATCTGCCAACCCCAGGTCTGTACCATCAGTTTCTGGAGGTTCCATTAGCCTCCAGGACCTTCGTTTGAAATTTGCTTTCATTAGTGTGCTGCTGAAGATGATAAAATCACAGCTCTGGCAAATCATCTTCCCCCTCCCCAGGCTGTTGGCTATAGGAGCATTCATTTAATTGAACTGCACAGGGCCCCGTAAATCCTAAGGATGGCCCTGCATGCTGCCTTCTTAAACTGTGTCAGGGAGAGCTCTGGGACCAGTGCCAGTCCATGGATCTGTCATTGAGAAACACTGGTCTAACTACTCCCATGGAAGTCAATGGTGAAGTGCCTGTTGCCTTCGCTAGCAGCAAAGTTAGGCCGACCTGAAGAGCACTTGTAAATATCTCACCCATCATCCCCATCTCCTCTAGCATTATTGACATGATGGCCCCCATTCTAATCCCGTTGCGGTCAGTGACACAACTTTCATTGACATCAATGGTTCAGGATCAGGCTCGGGCTGGATCGACAGGCTGCCATCGCTCCAGCGGGGGACGATTTATCGCGTCTACTGGAGACATGATAAATCAACCGCTGAGCACTCTTTTGTCAACTTCAGTACTCCACCCAAACAGGAAGAGTAAGCGGAGTTGATGGGAAAGCATTAGCTGTCGAGTTACCGCTGAGAAGATACCACAGTGAATAGACCTAAGTATGTCAACTTCAGCTACGCTATTCACAGAGCTGAAGAGGCGTAACTTAGGTTGATGACCCGCAGTAGTATAGATAAGGCCTTAGTTACCTTCTGATGCATAGAGCAAAGGGGGTAATGTGCTACTGCTAGTCCCATAGTTGGAACTAGGAGCAATGACTCCTTTGTTCTGTAGGCAGATTTGAAACGGATTTGTGTGGCTTCAGTCGTTTCACCAAGGCATTGATTGGCCCCCTAGGCTAGTGAGTGGTCCTCCTTCGTCTCAGTGGGCCGCAAGTCTGTCGCAACCAAGACGGTCTCGCAGGACAAGGAAGTTTTGCCGACGGGGCTTGCGCACCTAGAATTTGGGGGGGTGCCGATCGCACCGTAGCAGCACTTTGATTGGCTGCAGAGTGTGTGCCTGGCCCTCACAGCCACTGTTGTGTGCAATTAGCAGGGACCTCACTTCACGGGCCCTTGCTTTATATGTGTCACTTTATAATACCAGTAGGAATAAACTATGTGGATGGAAACCAGCAGAATCTGCAACCCTGCACATGGGCAATAGTAAACAAAATGTCTCCTGGGCTGCACATAGAACACCTATGGGCCCCAGGTGGCCTTTGGTACACAGGTTGTCCACCGCTGCACTGAGGCCTTGTTTGCTTTTAAAACGTGCATGCTCCATAACCCTCTTTGCCCTGGCACTTCCCTCACTGGTGGAAATGGCCTGTGCAAGAATTCACGCTCACAAATCAGGCTCTTTGTCTGTGTCTCTGCGTATCCTCCGAGAAATGGGTGGAATATCACCTGTCTCTCAGGGCTGGTGGAATTCGTAGCCAGCTGCTCTTGGAAAGCATCGTGAGCTTCTTAGCTGAAAGGTGCGATCAAAGTGTCAAGTATCCGCATCATGTGTTCTCTCCTACGTGCCCAGCCTTTGCTCAGACACAGTGACAGGAGCCCACACGCACACCTAATGCAATAGCCTCAGGGATTTAGTGTAACAGGCTGTTTCTGTAATTGGCATTTCTTCTCTACCCGGGGCCATCTGGATGCTCAGGGATTTCAGCCCAGGAGCTTATTGCTTGGTGACTTACTGTGTTACTTGCTATATGTTGAAAATGAATGTAGTTTGGAACTAAGGAAATTCGGGGGCATAGGTGACTCGTGGTAGCATTCAGGAAGTGCACCCCCCCCTGTATCCGCAACAACATTTTAATTGATAAATGGGGTGCCCCCAGAAGCTCCCTTCCTGTCTATCTGGGTGGCCCCCCCCCTGCACCCTCTCCCACTGCAGGCACTAGTTGCTTATGGTTCGGGGTTATTGTTGATCTTAGGGTGGTGTCAGAGTTCAGGTGTTAAGAACATCAGAACGGCCACACTGGGTCAGACCACGGGTCCATCTAGCCCAGTGTCCTGTCTTCCAGCAGCGGCCAATGCTAGGTGCCCCAGAGTGAACAGAACAGGGAATCATCAAGCAATCTATCTTCCGTCACCCATTCCCAGTCTCTGACAGAGGCTAGGGACACCATTCCTACCCATCCTGGCTAATAGCCATTGATGTACCTAACTTCCATGAATGTATCTAGCTCTAGTTTTTGAACCCTTTTATACTTTTGGCTGTCACAACATCCTCTGTCAAGGAGTTCCACAGGTTAACTGTGCGTTGTGTGTTTCTGTAAATCCAGCGTCCTCTCTATGTACAGTCAGGACCACACCCCTATATGTGATCCTAAATGAGACAGGCAAGGGGGCTTGCTACAATTGTACAGCCATTTTCCCTGGTCAGGGCCAGATTCTGCTACCTTTATTCATGATCAGTCATGCCTTCCTGTGTGGATAGTTCAGCTGATTTCAGAGTGAACGCAGAGCGAGTCAGAGTGGCAGAAATGGGCCCTCATGGACCAAAGACGGACAAAATATTCCCAGCACAATTTGAGTTTAAGCAGTTTGGCCTGGTTCCCATTTTCCTGTTTCCATGCCGCTGTGGAGCCTTTCCCAGTTCAGTGGTTTACACAGAGTGCCTCAGTCTTCAGAGTCTCACCATCCAATTTATAACCACGGAACATCTGGGAGATGAGGAAAGGGCCTGGGAGGCTGCCGAAAATGCCATGGGAAAAGTCTGCCCAGCTGAGCTGCTGTGGAGTCAGAACGATAGTCCCATGCAGATGTAAACATTGGCAGCACCAGGGACTGAGTCCGGGGCCCAACCTGGAGAAGTTAAAGGGAGTTCTCATGTTGGTGTTACTTGTGGCAGGACCAAGCCCTTGGTTGGGGGTGTCTGGCATGCAGGCCCCACCAACAGGTCAGGGGAGGGGGAGGGCAAAGGGGCCAGTTGCCCTGGGGCTCGGCAATTCAAAAGGCTCTGGGGCTCCAGCAGTGGTGGATGGAGTCCCAAGCCCTTTAAATTGCCACCGGAGCACCGTGCGTTGTGCTCCAGGCAGCTCTGAGGGCTGACTGTCCCAGTCCCGCCCCCTTCTGCCCAAGGCCCCGCCCCTTCCGGGAGTGTGGCACTCCCCCCTCTCCCCGCCCACTTTGCCCTGGGGATGGTGAGTCTGTTGGCTCCCCTGCTGAGATGCGAGTGTGTAGGGAGCACATTCTGCACCCTGGGTTGAGCAGGTCACTTGCTGTAAATGGAGGACACACACAAAAACCCAGGGTCCGTGGGCTTTTGGTGGCAAGACCCCATTTTCTGGACCATTTGCCTCTCTCTGTCCCCCAGTAACTCCCTGCTCTCTCTCTCTTTCTCTCTCTCCTTAGTTCCAGTTTCCCGTTCGCTCGCCGTCACCTCCGGTCCAGCCCCAGCCCCGTCATCCTGAGGCAGCAGGAAGAAGAGGCCAAGGCCAAAGAAGCAGCAACCAACGTGGATATTACCCAGGTTATGAGCAAGCTGGATCGGAGGAGCCAGCTCAAGCAGGAGCCTCCCAAGTAGGCTCCAGATCCTAGCCCAGGGCCCAAGGCAGGAAAAGACAAGCCGGGGGTGGGGGCTGCTGGCGAAACCGGGGCTGATATTCCTGCCCCCCTCCTGCAGGTGTCAGTGCTGCTTTACCTTTCCAGAGCCTTTTCTTCCTGCCGGTTGCCATGGCATCTAGAGCAGCAGATGTGAAATGCTGCTCGGAGTCTGACAACTGGCTCTGTCCCTATCGCATCGTGGGTCCCTGTGCTTAGTCGGCCCCAGACTTTTCCCCATTCAGTGGGCTCGTTGGACAAGTCAGGGGAAGGGTGTTTTCTAAGTGCCCCAAACCCAGCCCGGGATCCAAACTCCACCTGCATCCCTCTGCCTTTTACCTCCCTACCCTCGGCCCAGAGAACTCGGGGAGTGATTCGTTGGGATGCACAGAGCAACCCACCACACAGCTCCTTCTTCTGTCCTCACCCTCTGGGTCAGATGGAGCTTGTAAAGGGGGACCGTATTTGAACTTTCAAAAAGAGGGCACTGCTGAGAGGGAGCGTAGCGGTATCAGTATCTACCAACTCATGTTGTATCTACACTGCGCCCATTTTGCGCAAGAAATATGCAAATGAAGCGAAGCGTGGAATATTGCTGTGCCTCATTTCCATAATTAATGAGACTCCGTTTTTGCGCAAAACCCCCCTCTTGCGCAGGAGCCGTACTTCTGCATTTTTTTCAGGAAGAATGGCTCTTGCGCAAGAGGGGGGTTTTGCGCAAAAGCCTCTTGCACAGAAACAGAGCCTCATTAATTATGCAAATGAGGCACGGCAATAGTCCACGCTTCACCTCGTTTGCATATGTTTTTGCGCAAGAGGCTATAGTGTAGACATAGCCATATATAACACATTAATACAATGTGAGCTGGTAGATACTGATACCGATACACTCCCTCTCAGAAATGTCCTCTTTTTTTTGGAAAGTTCAGATATGGTCACCCTAAGCTTGTACCCACAGTCGTGGGATTAGGGACGGTACAGAGCCATACCACCCAAGGGAGCCAACAGCCTCACTAGGCACCTGGGCAAGGAAGGGGGCGTGGCTCCATGCTCCAGAAGGGGCGTGGCTTTGGGTAAAAGGTATGAGGCCAGGGCACCCAGCACTCCGTGCCACCTGGACTGCGGCGTGCCGCCCTTAGAACTGCCTGGAGCGCTCTGTGCAGTGCTCTGGCGGTGATTTAAAGGGGCCTGAGTCCTTTTCAATCATGAGGCCTCATGGCCATTGCCCCTTCCCCATTGGCAAAGCACACACCACCCCTGGGGGAGCACAAGACGGTCCATCATCTCTTGGTGCTGGCAGGTATGCGGGGTGAGCATTCCCTAGTATCCCGAGCCCTGGCCTGTGCAGCTGGTCAGCTCTATCTCACACCCACGTGGCAATAGGAGAGAGCAGGGACACATGGAGGCTGCAGTGGTGCTTGGCTGCTGTTCAGGAGGCAGAAGGATGAGGTCAACGGCAAAATCCCCATCGCCTTCAGTGGGAACTGGAGCAGGCACTTAGTTCATCCAACACTTGGCAGGCCCAATCCTGTAAGGTGCTGGGCATTGTCAGCTACCCTCAACTTAAATGGCTATGAGGGCACTGAGCAGTTAGCTGGTTCAATCCGAGGCTGTTTGGAATCTCCCGTAAACTTACAAGCGGCTAAGTGAAACCAGGGACTGGATGAACGCTAGAATCTCTCTGGATGTACAGCACCACGGGCAAAGGGACCCTGATCAAGGTCGGGGGCTCCCAGGTGCTGTCCTAACACAAATCATCAAAGAGGTTCCAGTCTCTGATTCTACATTCGATTGGGTTAATGACACGATTTTCATTCTCATCGCCATTGATGGGTTTCCTCAGGATTTAGCTGAGTCCCAACACTGTCCTGCCGTCATGGTTTACATGCCGTCACTGCAACCAGCCGTGTAACTGCAGCCTGGGGAGACCCGCTAGCTTTGGTGTGACTAGCGCCAACGACAGCAGCAGTGAAGCCACAGCAATAGGAGCAGAAGCTTGGTCTAGCGGCTGGCGTGTGTACCCAGCATCCTCGATGGGCGTGGCCAGCTCGTGCTGCTGTAGCTTCGCGGTTTTGTTATGCGCGCTAGCTAGATCCGAGCTCCGCCGGGATGTGCTGCAGTCACACCTATGATGCAGTGCAGGTTGGGTCCCATGAGTGTGAAACATCTGCCCACGGCTGGGACGGTCATGACCAAATACCAACGCTCTTAGAAGTAGGCTCACTTTAGATGCCTGCTCTCAGGCTACATTCCATTTGTAGAGCTGGCTGCATTCAAATAGGTCAGTGTGATCGGACACCTCATAGCTAAAGCCCTGCCAACCCGCAGATACCTGCTTTTATATCCACTGGTACCTGCATCCATAGATGTGGATAGCTGCAGCTCCTTTTTGCAGATGTAGATACCAATTTTGTATCTAGAACCCTGCAAATTTGCAAATATCCATTTTATAATCACAGGCATCTGCATCCACCAATGTGATGTGGATATCCACAGATCATTTTTGCAGATACCAATTTTGTATCCACACAAGGGCTCTACTCATGTCACTCCTTGCTGTTCATCTTCTCTGCGGAAGCCTTTTTATTGACCATCCCACACAGCATGCTATGAATTCAGTTTCACTCCATAGCTGCCAAGAAATAGTTTGTTTCCATTAATTGAATTCTAGTTGATTTTTAATCCATCCTTTCCATGTTTTATTTGCTTTTCTCATCTGTCTAATGAAAGTGCATGTAGAAAATGGAAGAGACAATTGTGTTTATCTGTCATTGTGTTGTCATCCTTTCCATGCTTTATTTGCTTTTCTCATCTGTCTAATAAAAGTGCATGTAGAAAATGGAAGAGACCATTGTGTTTGTCTTGTTGTAATGTGTGTGGTTTTTTTTTTTTTGGTGGTGCTGCTTTTAACATTTTTGTTTAAACAGTTGAGCATATTTTTATTTCTGCTGGTAGGGACTCGTTTAGAACCTTATGACAAAACCAAGTCTTGGAGAAGCCAGAAATGGATCATCTAAGGTCAGTTATTCTCATGAGCTTGTATGAGGGTATGTCCTAGGTCTCCCTCAGAGAGCAGGAGACTGTAACAGGCCCAGCCAGACAGCTTGTGCTTGTGCTTGTGCTTGTTCTGGAGAGGTGGCCAGGATGGCATCCATTATATATACACCTTCAAGTCAGGTCTTAGCCTGGTTATGCCCTCCATAACCAAACTCCTGCCCTCACTACATGCTTTAACCATGTTGTAACTGATTCGGGGGCTAACCAGGTTGTTACTAGGTTTGCTACCTAGTTGTAACTAGCAGTAACAGAGCCTTGTAGTCTCCCAGAACTCCTAGCTAACCACTTACCTCTCTTGAGGTTAAGATGACCTCCCTTACAGTAATTTGCCTGGTAACCATGGCCCAATCCAACCATCACTGAAGCCTCTAGGAATCTTTCCAGTGACTTCAGTAGATGCTTGGTCAGGTCTCTGGTGTCCCCTTGTTTCCCCTTTTAGTGCATCATTTTACATGGTTCCTGAGAGATCCAACTCTCTTGAGAGCAATCAATTCCCAAAGGCCAATGGCGAGCTGCCACCCTTCATCCAACCTGTGCAGTCTCCCTGCTAGCACCTGGAGACAGACTTACACTCTCAGAACTCTGTTGCTGCGGTGATTCTATGAACACCCCTGCTTCCCTAAGACCTGTACTGTGGCTTGAAATGAATCTGCCCTTCGTTCTCGTTTCTACCTACGCATTGCTCAGCCGCAGGCTGTTCTGGGCCAGTGTTTCTCAACCAGTGGTACAAGTACCCCTAAGGGTACTTGAGAGGAGACATGGAGGGATGCATCAACACAACTGAAATTTAGAGAAAACTGAATTTTTGTTTTAAGTTTTACAGTGCTTTATTATTTTTGTATTTTTTTACACCCCAAACATTTTGTTGCCCACCTGGCTACAATTAAGTCGTTTAAACAAACGTGTTGCAATGTGGAAAAAAAAATGGTAGGTACTGGGGGTACTTATAATTATAATTTTTTTTTAAAGTGGGTACTTCATAAAAAAAGGTTCAGAAACACTGTTCTGGGCAGTCCCAGCTATGCTCACAACTGGCCACGTCAGCAAGAAAGGGAAAGAAAGAAGAGATGAAACCTTCAGTGCCTCCTTCCCCTTGCAGATCTGCAGTCTTCAGGGCTAAGGGGAAGGAGTTCAGAGGATGGAAGAATCTGGTTTGCTAGGATAGCACTCGTTTTGCTCATTGCAGCTCAAAGCAACAAGTTCAGAGATCCCCGAAGTCTAAGCCAGAAGAAGAGAGGTCATGGAAGGGACAGCAAACCCTCAAAGCATCCCATCAAGTCCTCAGGCATGAATGCAAGAGTAGAATCCCTCACATCTCACAGTGCCATGAGTTAGGGGTCCTCATGACAATCAAGTTTGTGATAGAGAACTGTCAGGGAATTGTCTTTTTTTTTTTTTGAGCTCTTCTGTCCTTTGTTCTTCAAGGCTGTTCATTCCCTTTTCCCTCCCAACATAATAAAAGTAGTTCATCGTATTGTGTGGAAGCCCAGCACAGGCAACAAGCCAGAACAAAACTGCAGCTGGGTTCCCTCTGGCTCTTTGATCCAGAAGCAGGCAGGTGGGGATTGTCCTATCCTGAATGCACAGTGCTTTGGGGGAGGCTGCTCTGAAAATAACACCATGTTGTAAGCCTTGTAGAAAAGTCAGTTTGCAGTGAAGAATAGCTGGCGGCCCTGCTGGGTGGCTGAGCTGACAGGCCAAGCAAAGGCAACAGGATACAATCAACTTGTATTAACATCCCTACCTAGGGCCAGGGGATTAGGCCAGGGGTAGGGTCTGCAACTGGGAGTCAGGAAATTGTGGGTTCAAGTCCCATCTCTATGCCCTGTTTTACCCAGCTCTATAAAGGAGAGAATGACACTCCCAGTGTTCCCTGTAAGCTAAATGCATAGGCAGCCACCTAGAAGAGATTCAAGTGCTGCCCAGCTGATTAGCAGAGCTCCCAAAACCGGCAGCATGTGTTTCTACTGGTGGTGCACATCCACACATGATTTGGTGCACTTAACAAAATTGATTCCACACACGGATGGGAAAAAATTAGAGGGAATACTGCTCGCTTGCTTTCACAATGCCCTTTGTGATCCTGGGGGTGAAAAGTGATGGATCAGAGTTAAGTTAGCTGCCTTAAGGTGCAGTAAGAAGGCGATCTCAAGGCACATCCCCCAGCTCAGCATTTTGGATCCACATGTGGATCTGATACTTGCAGTCCAGAATCATCTTGTTAGAGGTGAGTTCAAGCTGCAAAGTCTGGACCTGGATTCAGGCCTTCCACCATGTGGGGGGTGTTCTTGGTGGGATTTTGGTTCTGATCATTACTAACGGCCTGTGAAATAGGCTTTGATCTGTGTCCAGGGTGCACTGGGGTTGCAATAAGTTTGGGCTATTCCCGTGGAAGCAGTTTCCAGCGTGGGTTTGGTCGACCGACGCTGATGTGTTCACCCAGCTGCCTCTATCACTTGTTTGTTCTGTCCTTCTCCCGTCCTGTTTCTCCTGAGTTCCTTCCCTTTCTTGTCATTTGCTGGCCTGCCTCTTCCTTTTGTCCTCTGTGTTTTTCCTTTACTTTGCTCTGCCCTCCAGCTGCTCCCTTTCTCGATTCCCTGCCTGCCCTGTAGGCTCCATGCTCCTCTGTGGGGGATGCCCTGGGTAGCTCGAGAGGACTGGGTCTCCTCACGTGCTCCCTACTAAGCCGAGTGCTGTAGGATCAGACAGCAGCCTGGACCAGCAGACAGTGCATTAGTCCCAACCCCAGCAGCCTGCTTTCATGAGAGGACACATCCAGGGTCGAGTAGGTTTCTCTGCCCCTGGAGTATTTTTCCTCTCCACCCTTGGCCATGTCAAAGGCCTTCCATGTAGGGCCATAAACTGTTAACGTGATTCACTTGCTCTTGCTCTTTCTGGAGTGTGCTAACACGGGGGTTGTGTAAGAATCCTCTGCAGTTCTGTGGCACAGTCTGTGCGCCCCGGGGTAATTCAGTGCCTGCCAGCCAGAGAGGTTCACGTGGCTGAGGGCTGGCGGGGGGGCGCTGTCTTATGATCTGCGCCGCACTGAGGGCTGGCTGCCCGGGCCCTGCCTCTTCTGGGCCCCACCTTGCTTGGGGGTCTGCAGAAGCTGTTGTCCCCCCATTACTGTGTACAGCCTCCAAGGATGGAAGAACACAAGCCTCTGTCATTTGAGCCAATTAAGAGCTCTTCCAGCAGCTAGCAGTAGTAGGTCCCTTTGCCTATCTCAGGGACAGTCACTAGAGGGCGCCATCACACAAAGTCTGTTACACACAGTTAACCTATCTACTTACCTAGAGACTTACCTGCCCCTCATTGCTGTAATCCCTGGCACCAGGAAACTATATGGCCCCCAACATGTTCGTAAACTCCCACTTGTCTTCTCAGGGGGGAATTATTTCCAGTTGGTAGCTAGAGGGAGACTGTGGGGGCTTGATGTTGTGTATCCCGTGGCGAGCAGGCTGCTTTTCCGGCTCTAAACTCTCTCTTTTTCTTCTCTGCAGCTGTGTCAGTTCACTGCTCCCATCCCTCACCTGGCTGTGTACACCGGCACCTCTGTTCCTTCATCTCCGTCAACTCCGCCCCCCTCCTGCCAGCTCCCAAACAACCTTCCTGCCCAGTCCCCTAGGCACATCACCCTGCCAAACAGCACTGTCTGCCCTTCCCCCATTAGCCTCGCCCTGGACAGTACCCCCTGCTTGGAGAGGAAGTGGGAAGCCAACGGGTCCAACTCGAACCCCTTTCCTTCTATCGCCGAGAGCACGGAGATCTCCATGGATTCGGAATCGGGCACTTGCAGCAGCCAGCTGCCGGAGAACGGGGAAGCCAAAGCACCTCCCAAATCCCGGATGACCTTGTCCTTCAGCAGGTTCTTGAAACGGGGATGTTTAAACTCGCCGGTGTTTGCCACTCTCTCGCCAAAGTGCCCGGCTGTAACCCACGGAAAGGTTCAGCCGCTCGATGACCTGGAGCAACAGTTGCAGCAGAAGTCCAAAACAGTGACCAAGTAAGTCTACCTGAGATGTGGGTGGCGGGTGAAGGCCCCAGCTGGAGAGGGCAAGCCCCTGCCCCGCCCCTTCCACCCAAGGTCCTGCCCCTGGACCCAAGCCCCGCACACCCCAGCCTGGTCCTTCCTGGCCAACTGGAGGGCTGAGGTTGCCGTGCTATGGCCTTGGCCCGGCCTCAGCCGTCCCCGGTGGCTAGGAAGCGGGGCATGTGGGCAATTTTGGGAAGGCTGTGCCTTTCCTTGCCTACATTACTGGCTGTCCCTGACCTTGGGTGTGTGGAGGAACTCAGCTCGGTCATTAAAGATAGCCAGCCTGGATGTGGAAGGGCTTGGCCTAGTGATACGTTGGTTGCACGAAAAGTCCTCCCAGGGGACAGACCCACCCCCCTGAAAGCCCCTGAGTGGGTCAGGCCTGAAGGGTATTTCCAGTGCTCCCAGTGTCTTCGAGAATAGGGGACCGCGAGAAGTCGGGTATATATGAGCGCAGCCCTGAGATGGCTCTAACTTACACTCAGGGACAGGCTGAGTCTGAGAGCCTGGAGAGTGCAAAGGTGGCTTACCACCCCACCCACCCCTCTCCATTCCCCTCAGCACAGGGCCAGAGCATCTGAGAATGAACCAAGGTTCAGAGGGGTGGCCGTGTTGGTCTGTTTCCGCAAAACCAATGCGCAGTCCTGCGGCGCCTGCAAGACTCTCACGTTTATTAGGCCATGCGCTTTTGTGGGGTGGAGCTCACTTCCTCAAATGCATCTGAGAAGGAACCCGCTAGCTCTCGCCAACCAGCAGAAAAGCCCAGAGAAGTCAGAGGGGCTTGCCAAGCTGGCTACAGCTCCTGAAAAGTCCTTAGGCTTTGCTCCAAAATGTGTCAGAATTTTCAAATGAGGAGACAGGTGAAGGGAAAAAATCTGCCAACCCCACCAGCCTCTGAGGCAGGCTCTTGCGGCGCAGGATTGCCAGAAGAGATGTGTCTCGGGCTCGGTGGCTGTGCTGGTGAGCTCTGGGGGGCAGACCCCCAAGCTCAGCGAGGAGAGGAAGGCCAGAATTCCTTCCCAGCATTTCCTAAGCCCCCAGCTTTTACTTAGTTTCTATAGCCAGGCCCAGCCTAACTCAGCTTCACTCCTGCTCCCAGCTAGCTAGCGCCTCCTCCTTTCCACCTGCCCATTCCCCAGAGCCCTTTGGGTGCGTCTAGACTGGCAAGATTTTGCATAAAAGCAGCCGCTTTTGCGCAGAAACTGGCCATCTGTCTATACTGGCCGCTTGAATTTGCGCAAGAGCACTGACTTTGTAATGTAGAAAATCAGTGCTTCTTGCGCAAATACTTTCACGCTCCCGCTCAGGGATAAGCCCTCTTGAGCAAGAATACTTGTGCAAGAGGGCCAGTGTAGACAGGCACCTTCAATTTTTGCGCAAGAAAGCCCGATGGCTAAAATGGCCATTGGGGCTTTCTTCCGCAAAAGCGCGTCTAGATTGGCACGGATGATTTTGCGCAAAAGCATCCGTGCCAATCTAGACGCTCTTTTGCAGAAATACTTTTAACGGAAAAACTTTTCCGTTAAAAGTATTTCCGCAAAATCTTGCCAGTCTAGACGCAGCCTTTGAGTGTAAAACCAAACTGCTCATCTTGGGCCAGCAGGAAGCGTGGGTGTGAGTGTGGGTGTGGGTGTGGGTGTGGAGAGACATGCTAGGAACCAGCCTGTAAACACGCCTTAGCTAATAGCTAACGGAGCCGCTGCAGTTCCCCTGTCAGCCTTGGGATGGGGAGGCTGCAGAGCAGCATTTTTGCCACTGCTTGCTGCTGTGGGAAGCTCCAATGGAGTCACCTCTGCAGGCCCTGACGCCTTCTTCTGGTGCCATTTGGATTCCCAGCAAGCGCTGCAGGAAAGCAGCCCCTCAGGTAAGCCAGTGGCATGGCCTCTAGCTCCGCTAGCTCTGCCATGTTGCTTGCTTTCACTGTTCCGCACTACGTGGGCTATGGTGCCCCTATGAATCCCGCTGTCACCCTGCTGCGTGCAGGGTCTCCCCCCCCGACAGGGCCACATGGCGGTTTTTGAAGGGGCCTGAGGACAAATCTAAAATGGGGCCCTTCTCTCCCCGTGTTCCCTGAAATCTGAGTGCTTGGGCGGCCATCCAGGAGAGATTCCGGTGCCGCCCATCTGATTCACAACGGGCCCACAACCACCAACCAGCATGTGTTTCTTGTGGTAGTGCACATCCACGTATGCTTTGATGCACCTAACAAAATTTATTCTGCAGAAGGATGGAAAAAATTAGAGGGAACATTGGACCCCCGCTCCCCAACCTTTTTGAAAGAATTACCACTCAGGGGAGGCCCAGTGTGTATGTGTGTGTGGTGTGTGTGTATGTGAGGGAGGTATTGGAGAGTGAGTCTCTGCCTCTAGCAGTGACTTGGCTTCTGTCCCATGGGCCTAGGTCTGTCCCCTGCCTTAGGTGTTGAACATGGAATATGGTGCAGAACCACACTCCAGGTATGGCCTGGCTTCCCTCTGTCATGTGAGAAGGCCTTCCAGGGCAAATTTTAGTGAGGACCGCCATGACTTTGCCTGGCTGGTCTCAAAGCTGCTTAGTTTGAAGCCTTCTCCAAAAGAGATTGATTGTCGGGTATTTTGTTTGGGAGCAATCCTGTTTATGTACAAAGAACATGGACTCAGCCCTGTTTGCCTGGACACCGTCGAAACAAACAGTTTCCTGGCCCTCAGTTTTCAAGCCTGCCTCTCCAGCCAGTCCCGTGTCCCACACAGCTCTGTCTCTGCTCTCTCCTCAGGCTGCCCTCACGACTGCTTCTCTCACAGTCTCCTGGCTTTCTGGTTCTTTTCACCCCCACACAGCTGCCACCCTGTCATAGCTCCCGCCCCTGTGTTTGCAGTCCCCAGGGAAACTCCTTGCCTTGATGGCCTGGGCCTGGTGTGGGGGCTTCTATTGTTTCAGATATCAGGGAGCAAAAAGGGCCCTTAATTTCTCTTTCATTTATCCGGAAGATAGGGATGTTAGATAGCGTGCCATTGAATAGTCGTGGAACCGCATCAACTTTTAGCGGTTACGTGACTATTCGGTAGTCCCGGGGGGTGGGCCGGTGGCCAGTGCACTCCCAGGGAGCCTCCTGCCACCCCACGCTGCCTCTCTATCAGGGGCAGCAATGTGGGGTGGCAGTCAGAGCCCGTCCTTGAGGGGAGATGGTTTAAAAAGCTCACACTCCCCATGGGCTGCTGCTGAGAAGCAGCCTCTGTCTGCGGTGAGCCTGGGCCCATTGTGG